GCAGCTCTTAGGACTAAGGAACGAATTGAGTTGTTGGCTGAGGAAGGATCAAAGTAAGGCAGGCCCAGAAGACATGGATTGCAACATTATTAGTTAATTCGATATTTTGAGAATTGGAATAGTCCATCTTTATTTCCATTCTGAACATAAACTGTTCTGGTACGTTGTGTATGGTAGCTACCCTTTAAGCTCAACCATCCAAATAGTTCAGATCTAAACAATGTACTTGGCAATGCACGTTCGTATTTTATTCGTCTTAGTTATGCCCTTTCTGCAGTTCCTTTGTTTGACATGTGTTTGAGTGTTCTGTCTTCACTCTTGTGTCGTTACTGTTCTGTTATATTAGATCTCAAGATCATTACAGATATCAATAACCACCCCTGATTCGCTATCTACAGTGTACTATGTTCCTAATGTAACCTCCTGTAATTCGACTAAAATCGGTCATTCCCTTCTAGCCTCCAGTGTTAGTATGTTTCCCCCGTTGACTGTACTGTTGCCTAAGTTGAAAAGTAGTAGATTCCCTTCACACCACTTGTCTTTTAGGCCTTTCTTCTACGACCATTTTTATTGTATTTTGAATCATTTTGGGCCGCAGAAACACTGAACAGTTCGAGAGAAAGTTTATGTCTTTTGTTGTTTTATTCAACGTTTAGGAAGATCCCTGCTCTTATCTCACTTTTCATCCTCTCTCATCAACTTTACTCTTCTTCCGCTATTTCCTCACTAAAATCCTGAATCAGCACACTGTTCCTGTTCAACCTTCCTTCTGGTGTCATCCGGTTCGATCTCCGTCCCCAATTTCCTCACAAAAGAGACATGCTTCCGCAAAAGCTGCTTCGAGATTTGAATGGAACTGAAGGGCCAGAAGCTGCTCTCAAGATACGCCTCTTGCATGTTTGGGGTGATTGCAATTCAGAAAATCCATCCATTCTCTCACAGTTTTGCAGTCTTTGGACCGATTCCAAGGTAATATAGCATTTCCTTAAACGTTTTTTTTTGCAGTTACCAGTGCAAATTGTGCTCTTCGGTCATTTCTCTTGCTTCGCCTCCTCCCTGTTTAACAGGGAACCTTAATCCAGGCCATCGCGACACCACATTTAGGTCACCGATTTGGCCCATACCTGCAACTAGGGTGTGTCTACTTAGTTACTGGATTCCAGCTGGCAAAACCACAGCCACTGTGCCGCCCTTGCTCCCATAGATTTAGTTTGGTCCTTTCTCAGGGAACCATATTTGAGGATGTAACCATGTTGTCACCGGGTTTCTGTGCTGATTCATTTGAGTTTTTACACTTCAGTTCCTTGCACGGCTTACCTCGCTCAACAAACCAGCTCATAGGTTCACCTGGCAATTACTGTAATCTCATCACATATACTTGATTGGTTTTTTTGCACTAATGAATTGACGCTCTTGTAACACCTCTCCAAATGTAGATGTTGTTGGCAGAGTTGTTTCTGTGAGCGGGTTATCCTGTTCGGCAACATCCACTGGTGCTATTATTAGGCGGAAACTGGTCATACAAAACGAAAGGTTTTCAATGCAATGCGATTGTGTACCTTTCCATTTGTATTTGATTAACCGTAATTCCAATCATCTCCGTCTAACCTGCACTTGACTATTGCAGAAATAAACGTGTTAACATCACCATATGTGGCGATGTTGCTCGATCACTAGATGGAGAAGAACTAGCATACCTTAGCCGCATGGGATCTGTTATACTTGGTGTATGCAGTCTTCAAGTTACTGACGCCACACCAGGTTTACACTGCACCTTTATCCGTCACAGTTAATGCTATTGCTAATCCATTCTACGACGACTCACATCTCCTTTCCTACCTTTACAAAAGGCGGCATTTTTTTAACCAGCACCTCCGCTACACGGTTTGTTTTGGAGCCATCTTCTGCATTGGCAAATGTTTTGCGTGCTACGTAAGTCTCTTACAAGATGCCGCTTTTAGTAGTTGACTTTCCGTTTATCTCATATACTTTCGAAATTGTAGTGCTACTGGTGGTACAGATACGATCCGCTATTATCCTCCATGCTTTTCCACTTATTTTGAAGAGGAAATGTTTCGAGCTGACAGTACCAAGACAATTATGGACCTCATCCGCCTTTCCAGAAATCCAATGGTTGACGTGCGTTCTTTTGTCATAACTTTTACTGTCACAGCACTGTGTCTTATTACTTCATGGCAGGTTAAAGCATAATCTGCACTATTAATGTAGCCAGCCATTATTTTCATGCTTCAAAATTTATTCTGCCTCACCACTAGATGGATCTGTTTTTCCAGTCCCTTTTGCCAGTAAACTAACACATTTCTTGCCTGCTTAGCTACACTTTCTCACCAGTTTTGTTTACCTACAGGCTACCCAGTACTATTGTTTGGCGCAAGTCCTCTCCACTGAGGCTTCAAGATCATGGTTCTACTTAGGATGTGCCTTTTGCTTTAAGACAGCTAGGGAATTTCCTGGCACTGGTGATTTTTTTTTGTGAAGAACATGGCCAACTAAAGGCTGAAGAAACCGAACATTGGTTAGTTTAAAATCCACCTTTTCCCCATCAGTCAAGTGGGCACGCCCAATTCACCCCTGAAATTTTAATACATTCTTACAGCTACAAAATTCATTTGGCTGTCGGAGACACTACTGGTTCGGCGTGCTTCGTCGCACTTGGAAAGCCCGCTGAATCTTTGCTTGGAGTTACAGCAAACGAACTATTGTTGCAGCATCCCCACCGCCATGGCCATTTCCCTCCGCCAATTGTGGCCATGAATGGCTGTTGGTTTTCGTTTTGTGTGCAACTCCCTAAACCTGGAAATCTGGCTCAGACTCCTCTGGAGTTTACTATACTTTCTGCAATCGACCGCAGCCAGCTCTAACAATAAACTAATGAAAACGTCAACGCTTGCGCAGAAAGTCATTGTGCTCGACCGTTGTCTTACCTATATTATGCCAGTATTTAGCAATATTTGCACTTCAACATCAACAGACTTATGTATCCGCGATGTACGTACAAACTATTCACATGCACAATGACTCCGCTCTTTCGCTTACAACTCTCTTTTCTTGATGGTTTCGTTTCCATTCTTTCTTTTGTCAGGGGGTTTGTTCGTCTGCTTTCAAAGGAGGTTCGGACGGCGAGTTTTGTGGCAAAGAAATTGATCTCAAATTCTTAGGAAACTTTATTGCCCGTTGAACTTGCGAAGCAACAGGCGGAACCTACTGTGGTGGTGAGCTACCTCTCTTGATCTGATTCCTTTCTAAGGTTCATGTTTACTTGGATATTTGTTTAGATCGTTTGTTTGTTCTCTACTAGGAGTGGCGACGACTGTTTCACCGGCCACTTCATAGCAGATTTTGCACTCTTGACGGTTAGGTACATTCTTTTTATAGGCTGAAACGAATGCAGCATTTTACCTAACAGGAAGCAGCATTTTACCTAGGGGCAGCAGCAGTCGACCCAGCTTGGTTATCAGACTCCAACTTCACCTCGAACTCTCTCGACTCAAATGGCAGAGCCCCAGCAGTGAACAGACTATCACTTACCTAACAGTCTATCACGGTGTGGTGGCTCACACATTTGCTATGTTATGATTCTGTTTCTGTCTTACTCTTCCTTACTGTTTCCCCCATCTCACGAGGATTGCGAAGAAGAGCTGGCTGTAAAAAAAAAACTCCTAGGGTTGTGCATTGAGGGGGGATCTGGATTTATATGCTTGAAAATGCTATTGTGCGGATGATTGATTCATGAATGTGCTTGGTTTTAGGTCACTATTACCCCGGAGGTTACTTCGAAGAAGGTCAACAGAGATGTCATTTCTACACTGGACAAGTTATACCGTCAATCTCATTTGGGGAACAAAATGGTAGCCTATGATGGTAGGAAAAGTCTGTTCACTGCTGGGGCTCTGCCATTTGAGTCGAGAGAGTTCGAGGTGAAGTTGGAGTCTGATAACCAAGCTGGGTCGACTGCTGCTGCCCCTAGGTTCTATGCATTGAACATGTAAGCAAAGAAATTGTAGGATTCATTGCCTTCCACACCTGAGGTGTTGAGTTGATTACGATATCAATTGTCAGGTTAAGTATTCATTTGACAAGCTCATTAGTATTTGTTTCATGATTATTGACAAATCATGATTGTTTGATTGCATTATAATAACTCTATTTTCATATTTCCCCCCTCACTTATGAATTCGAAGATCAAACACTCTAATCCTCCCGCCGCGAAGCGCGGGCTTCCGTACTAGTTGTTATTAATGATATAATCACATGCTGTCGCTATTGTTCTTAGAATTCAAGCTCGGCAAGTGGGATAATATTTGTAAGTGGTTAAGTATCATACATGAACCTATATAAGATCTAACATAACCTTCTTCCAACAACTCGAGTTATTGAGAGCAACTGGTTCTTGACATGGTATCAGAGCTGGTTTGTTCGTGAGGTCACGTGTTCAAGTCCTCACGACCCCCAATATTAATCGTTGTCTTTCAAGCACATGGTAGGATTGGGCCTGTGCAAACTTCAAGCCCATAAGTCGGCTTTCGTTTGAGGGGGCGTGTAAGGAAGTGGTTAAGTACCATACATGTGATTGAAAGCCGACTTATGGGCTTGAAGTTTGCACAGGCCCAATCCTACCATGTGCTTGAAAGACAACGATTAATATTGGGGGTCGTGAGGACTTGAACACGTGACCTCACGAACAAACCAGCTCTAATACCATGTCATGAACCAGTTGATCCCAACAACTCGAGTTATTGGGACCTTGTGAGTGGCTTTCGTTTGATGGAGCGTGTTAGTGTTGTGGTATATGATCCACGATTGAACCTCTCCCAACTCGAATTATTGGGATCAACTGGTTCATGACTATATTGTACTAGTCAAAATCAAAGTAAGAAGTCAAGCGGAACCTCTTGTTGTTGTGTAGCCTAGGTTCAGCCACGTAGCAGCCAAGGGGAAAACGAAATTTGGAATCATGGCAGAAATTTTAAAGTTACTAATTAATTACCCGAAGCAGCAGCTTGAACGACGTCGTCTCTGCGGGAATCCCTGGCGGTGATGACGACGCGGGTGGTGTAATTCGGGTGCGAACCGTAGAATTCCGACACCGCCATTTCCACGCAGCTCAGCCACACCTGCCCGGCGAAGTCGGCTCTGTCCATGTCCACAATCACCCCGACGTTCACCGCCACCGCCGCCGTCGTGTTGTTCGTGCCGCTACTGATCTGCCCCGCCACCGCCGCCGCAGCGAACAAGGTCGCGACGAAGAATCGGAACCACCCACGTCGGCGGCCAGTTTCCGGCGCCATCGTAGCGTAGGGGCTAGAGATTATTTGGGAAATGGGCGGCGCTTTTGGGCAGGGAGCTAGACAAGAGACTATAGAACTAACTGAGGCCTTTTTATTTATGTTTGATAATGATGATGACGAGTTGTTTATTTATTTATATAGAAAATTATTAACCATTTCATGTGACCACACACGTACGATATATGGAAGATTGATAAATTAATTAGTCACTGTTGTTCGTCAACACACAGCAAGAAATACGATCGAGAGTCTGCAGTTTCATGGAAGTTTCGCAATGCGTTTGAGCTTCATGAAGCTGCCTACTTAATCAACCTAACGCTGGCCATCGCCATCGGACTTAATGTATTAAGAGTTTAAAAGAGATTTTCTGCTACTAATTATTAAGCTGAAAATGTCAGTAATCTTGCGGGACATGGACACATTTGTGCAATCACATCTAAGGTGGAAATTGGTGTCGGTGTGGTTACCCGTCCCACATTTTGCGGGTACCCACACCCACAAATTTACAATTATGTTATCCACAACCCGCACCGCAGTGGTTAGTGGGTAACCACTACTCACTGTGGGTTTGTGCGGGTTGGGTGTGGTTACCCACAAAAATCCATCTTTGCAAGAATAGAGTTCTAGTCGCCACTAATGTAATTGTTGTTCGTAACTAGACTATAGTGATATACACTTGTGTTGTTCGTGGAGGTACAATTTTGTACATCGATCTTACTCAACGTGGAGATTTTTTCTTTTTGAGTTTGGAATTCAACTTTTGTGTCAGAGAGCTGTGATTTCATATTTCCCCGACTAGGGTGAAATATGACAATTAAATATGATCTTGTATTTTTTCACACAAAAACAAAAACATACTGATAAAAGTTACAAAAAGTGTTCACTTTTAATAAATTGATTACTCTCCACTCTATCGATTATAGTGTTTGATAAAATAAAAAATTCTTACATAAAACTTATTAGGTGTACGTGTCTTTTTTATTTAGTGACTACTTTAATTTTTATCCACACACTTTTCACATACTATTATATTATAAAGTTAATTCACTAAATAAATATAATAAGTGTGGTTATTGTGGATTTTGTGGGTAACCGTAGTGGGTAGTAGATAACCACTAACCACAAAAATCGTTATTTTACTACCCACACCCAACCCACTATCCACAACTTGTGGGTATGACTACCCACAATAGGTGCAGGTTAGTGCAGTTTGCGGATTATCCACAACCCGCAACCCAAACTTCCACCCCTAAATTCACATCCACATGTGACTACTACTATATTTATTAAAATTTCTTCAATTTTTTAGTTCTTCCTACGCGTCCTCGAGAACCAAATCATCCAAGTCTAGATAATAAATAAAAGCCGAATGATGAAAACTGTTGCTCCATTTCAAATTTCCTGCAACGAGAGTGATTATAGGAAGGACATTTTGGTTTTCACAATTGCTTATTTTCTTATTTATTTATTCATAAAAAATGCATGAACTGGGATTTGAACCTTGGTCTCTTTAAAGGCAAGCAAGGATCATAACCAATCACACTAAGTATATTTGTTGTATCTATTTAAATTCAAACATACACGAACCTAAATTATGAAAATCATATGACTTTTTTAACGATTAGTTGGCCACTGAATCTCCCGTAAATACTTATTTGGTGTTTTAATACTTTGATTATTTTAGTTGTAGTTTAATACTTAATTTAAATTTCTATCTATTTTATAAATATACAATAACCCTAAAATTGCAGCCCAAATATCACTGGTTCGAATATTGCATATCGAATTGCAATATTAAACATGTAGAAGCAATATCGACTTCTTAAATTAATATTATTTTTCAGAATTACTATGGAGAAATTATATCTTTGTGCAAACTATATGAGACTGGTTCTTTTAATGTTTTAGTCGGGATAACCGCTACATTTTAAACTTCTTCATAATCTGGCATGATTGGATCCAATGATCATTATACAAGATTGTGTTTAATAGGGTGGCTCATTTCACCACTTTTTGGCGTGTTAATGAATTTGTAGGACAATGACAGGTCTACATCTACACTCATCACAATCTACACATCATATAAATGTGAAATGAGAAAAGAGGGATTCCATTTCAAATTTGATGCGTATAGAGCAATTTTTTAGGGGTAAATTTAGAAGATGCCAGTGCGGTCGGTCTGTTGAGCACGAAAGTAAAAATATGTTTTCATTTAAACGGGCGCAAACTGTTATTTGGCCCACTAATCGTGCACCCATCGCCAATGCAGTCAAATTCGGGATTTTGATCATAAAATCGTAGGATTTTAGGATTTTACTTAGGGATTCCGATCTTGATTTTACTATAAAATCGGTGGACCTTAAAATTGTTTAAAATCGGGACTAAAATCATTAAAATCGTAAAATAGTATCGAAATCGGGATTTTGATCGTAAGAGAACAAAATAGGTGGTTTGAGCCAATTTAAAATAAGTATAACTTTTTCAGCGGAAAGAGCAATGGAATCTTCTCAGATATTTTTCTATTAGAAAAATATTCAAAAATAATAAAAATAACCAAATTAGGGTTCGGTTAATCTCTTTCCCTTCACCCCATTTAACTTATTGGTAAAACACATGTCCTAATATTGGAAGTATGTAAGAACTAACATCATTATTAACTAATTAATTTATTAATGAATATATTTGTACCAACCCACTAACATTACTTATTTTATTGGAGTTCAATTATTTTTAGTTTTAAATCATACTTAGTAGACGATGTCAAAATATTACTTTGAGTTAAACAACCTAGACATAACATGAAAATAAGAGCCAAACCCATGAACTATATCTCTTCATCATGAATTATTTTGAGTTACACATTAACTAGCAATTAAAATAGTGATTTTGGAACATTAATCTTGAGAATTATCTTATGGAAAAAAAATCTTCTGAATTATCATTTTAAATGCTATGTGTCTTTGTGATATTAATAATTTACCTTATTAATATTCTTATATGCTATTGTTGGGGGTGTGACTAAGGGACTGAGCGCACAGACTAAGCAGTAGGGCGCATAATCGGCGATGCCCAACGCTCGATACCCGCTACAGGTATATAAGGGCTTGAAGCCCTCCGAAGAAGGGGACTTCCTCCTTTTTCTCCTCACTTTCCACTTCCTACTATCTCTCTACACTTTATCTCTCTTTCTATTCTCTCAACTCTCTCCACAAACCGACACTAACTTGACCGTCGGAGCTTAATCCGGGGGGCAACCCCGGCTCTTTCACAGGTTCACTCCCTCCCGACGAGATCAGACGAACGGATGACGAGTCAACCCACACCAACAAATATCATTGTTCGATCCGGAGCTAGATGGGTCAAACAATTGGCGCCCACCGTGGGGCATGGCGAAAATTCGTTTGTTTGATTTCGGAAAGAGGGGGAACTCTGAATCTGAAGAACAGAGAAACTTCATCGAGAGGAAACAAAGAGAAAAGCTGGCCACACGTCAGAGAACAGAGGTTCATTCGTCGTTTTCTAAAGAAGGAGAAGAAAGATCCCCGCCGGCGGAGCTCCTTGTTGTTGCCGACGCAACCGACCGCCATCCCGAACCCTTGAAGAAAGACCAGATCTGCTTCTCTCCATAAACAAAAAAAAAGAAAGAAAAAAAAAACCAGAGTCCTAACGCCGGAAATGGTGGCCGAGCTCCGACGAAGATAAATGAACCTGCTGCCGTCAATGTCACCTTCTCTCCCATCCTCCAAAGTTCTTGTCCCTGCAATCAAGGAGGAAACAGTAGACGGGAAGCTTTCTCAGAACCACTTGCTTCCCCTGTTGAAAAAAAAAAAAAAAAAAAAAAAAAAGGGGCAGAGTTCCCGAGGCAGACAACGGGACTACCGAGGCAAGTTCAGCACAAGTTGGTTCCAGCCTGGAAATAGAGTGTGGATCGCGTAACAAAGGACGGGGGAGCTTCTTCCCGCCTCTCCTCTCATCGGTGGTGAAGTGATGCTTCTAACCTCCTCCGCGCGGCTTCAAATCGAGGAAAGCTTCAACTAATCGCCACCTGCCGCTACTCCATGGTGTCACGCTCGACCTGCCCCCGCACAAATTCAGGCTCATCCTCATCCGACCCGCGCCACCGCCCTTCAAAGCCATCTCGCGGAAGATTTTCCATCATGAAGTAGCGACGGAAAACCACGCGGCAGCCCCCACAACGGTCCGCTAGCACTGCCCGCGCCATTCCCTGCTTCAGTGCCTCGCGAATCCCCTCCTTCGCGCGTTTCGTCCGTCCCCGCCGTGCGTTCCTCGTCAAAAAGAAAAAAAAAAAAAGAAGAAGAAGAAGATAGGGAAACGCGTCCAAAGAAAAATATAAGAAGAAGAATGCTACAGCCTACAGCCGCGCATGCAAGTTGCAACAAGACCAGCCCGCTCAATTGCTTGGGCCATACAAATCCGTCTCCAGCACAGGCCCGTACCATTTGGCATCAACTTTCGTCAGAAGCCCACCCAAGAGCCCCGGGCCAAACCCTAACGCGCGGCCCGATCCGCCTTACCAGGTCACTAGCGCGGCCCACATGCCTCAAGCCTACCTGCGGCCCACTTAACTCCAACCCCACCTTCCGCCTCAAGCCCACTCGCGGCCCGCTCCACCCTTCAGCTCGCGCCACCCGGCCCACTCGCGTCCCGCTCCACCCTTCAGCTCGCGCCACCCCGGCCCACTCGCGGCCCGCTCCACCCTTCAGCTCGCGCCACCCGGCCCACTCGCGGCCCGCTCCATCCTTCAGCTCGCGCCACCCCGGCCCACTCGCGGCCCGCTCAACCCTTCAGCTCGCGCCACCCGGCCCACGTCACCAGCACTCGACGCGCGCATGTTCACCTCCGCCTGACCTCCAGTCCGCCACGTCCGGCCCAAGTCACCAGCACTCGACGCACACAAGCCCAACCCGCGGCCCAACTCGCGGGCGTTCAACAGATCAGCACTCAAAAAATGTTGCGTCCGCCGTGATTTGAACCTGCGC